GTGGCAGCCGGAGCAGGGCCGCCATGGCGGAGCACGGCGCGCACCTGACGGCGGCGGGCGGCGGCGAGGAGGCTCCGTCTATCTTCGAGGCGGTGGCTCAGGACAGCCTGATGGCGGCTCTGCGGCCCGCGCTCCGCCACATGGCCAAGGTGCGCCGGGGCCGGGACCCTGCAGCCCCCGCGCAGGTGGAGGGGCGGCTCCCTGGCAGCCCGGGGCGGGTGGCACGCGGATCCGCACTGCAGCGTGGGGGTGCTCAGCCAGGACCGGCAAAATACAGCCCGGGGCCGGCTTCCTCGGTCCCGCTGCCCTAGCTGGGACGAGAGTGGGGCAGCTGCTGGCTTTGAGCACCAAGGCCCCCACTCTCGCCTGCCTGCCCCAGCGACCGGAGGAGCATCGGTGCCCAACATGGGCTGCAGGGCAGAGCCCTGCGTCAGACACCTCGGGACAGGAGCCCAGCAGCAACCACCTGCATTTACAGGGACCCTATCGCGCCGGTCTCCAGCACGGCCCCCATGGTGGAGCTCCCATGCAGCACTTGTCACCTGATGTGCCCCGCACAGCCCTGCCCAGCCCAGGCCCTCCCCTGCTCCCCACCTTGGCAGGAGCTTCCAAGCCACAACCCTCTGCCAAGCTTCCACTTCCACTCCCTTTGCTGCCATCCCTGGCTCCTTCCAGCTACACCATGGGCTGCAAATCCCATCTGCTTAGGTCTCTCTCCCAGCACCATTTGAACTGGGCTAATGTTCAGCTCCGTGTAGTGCCAGGAGTCAAGGCATCCACAGAAAGTCAAGCCCCTGCTGGGACTACTGGCGGGAGTTCCTTGTGTTCTGCATGCTCCCGTTGCCTGGTCCAATCAGCCACAAAGCTTCTGCTTACTGTTTGGGTTTTGTGGGCAGCTGCCACTTAGCCAGGGATCCTAGCCACTTGCTCCCATCTGCCACCCCATCCTGTCCAAGCACAGAGCAGAGCCAATATCAACTGCCTGCACGCAGCTGCAATGAGTGCTAGTTCTGCATGCACAGAGGGAGCAGTGCCCATCGCAGGGTTGTGCAGGCAGCGGAGTGTGGCTCTGCTCTGCACTTGGCTGGGATTGAGCTATAGATGGGCAGGGAACAGCATCTGGGAGTGGGATGGGCAGGCAGGGCTGGGATCCCCAACTAAGCAGCAGCAGCCTGTGGGACACAAACCAAAGTGGCAGCTTGGACCCACATGGGCAGGGCACATGGCCACGCCAATGGGATCAGCACCTTGGAAAGTGAGTTGGGGGCTGTGGGGGGGCAGGATGCTGACCTGGCCAACAACTCATTAAAACTCCCCAGGTGGCTTGCAGGCCCAAATAATTTCCCACCCCCTTGTTAACCCATTGTCTTCCCTGCAGTGAGGCAGGGAAACAGTCTCCAGAGGAGGAAACTCAGAAAGGCCTGGTAACTTAATCTTTTTTTTGAGCAAGTCTGAGACAGAGCCAGAACTGAGCAGAGCCTGGTCTTGTGTGCAGGCCCCTAGTTCATGAAGGGATGAGTGCACATGTTTTAGGTTTTTCTGCCAGGGATATTGCTCCTGCTAATGCTGCTTAGTTCCATGCAGGGAGTCGCAAGGTATCTCTTGAATAAGCTCCTTTTTGTGCAGGTGAAACACACTTGCACATCATGTATTCACATCCCTGTTGTGGGAGGAAGCACTGTTATTACTGGAAGCCTTGCAAGTGTATGCAGCCATCAGCTTGGAAGCCTTTCATTCCTGGAAGCCAAGATTCACATCTGGCTTATTTA